GGATACAAAAATTTCCGGGTACGTGTGGACGGGGCCTAAGCTTGAAATGCATTATATTCATATGCAAATAATGTCATCACAGATAATAGTGTATTATGCCAGAAAAACGTGCAGACAAAGTTTAGGAACATTTCATATCATTGTGACCTTTCGCTGATTGGATTCACATCGTGAATAGAGCATTTCGGGTTCGGCATGTTTTACCCAATTCAAATCTTTGTCCATTATATTCCCATGTCATTGAGGCACTGATATGGATATGATATGCAAATATAGTATACCAAGAAAATTATTCCCAGTAGATTTGAATTGGTTAAAACAATTTGTTAGCCGAGTTGGTCTATTACCCAGATACTCACACACCAAAAGCTGGCAGGTGTTTCTCAAGAGAGAATCAGAGATTATTGTCTTTCTAATGAAAATCTTCAAGTCTATCATCCATCATTACTGTATCACCTGGGCCCTGTTGTACGAAGCCTGAATACCGGCGCTATCCGACGGATAAATCTTATCCAGTAGCTAAATTTATTGGATAACAGCATCAACTTATCTACTGGATAAGGATTTATCCGCCGGATAGCGTTATCCAGGCTTCGTACAACTGGGCCCTGGGGATTGTGAGATATTTAGACTTGGCTTTTAATGGTAAAGGTATTGAAAATGACGTCACTATTCCTGGTGGACTAAATGCATGGGCAGAATCGACACCGATTCCATACAGTTAACATATTTTTTAACGTATGATATTATCCATTCCGGTCGAAAAAAAAACTGGGCGGAGTTGGAATTACAAAGCATTATGGGACATTAAGGAGACATTTGCAAGCCGTCTTCTACTTCGCCCCGCAAAACAGCCCCACAATGCACTGCAATTCCAACTCCACTCAGCTATTTTCTCAACCTCAGAATGGCTATTAGGTAACGAGCGGAGGCGTGCACGACAAAATATTGTACAACAGATTCTAGAAATTCTTTCAATTGTCTTTTTTTTTTCGCAGTGCATTATGGACCAGCATCGGTTTTGTTCGTTTATATGCATCTCTAGACAGGTGTGATAAGGTTAAGATTCTGGTTTGATTGTCACTCCACGTCGAATTTGTCCCCATCCAATCAACCTGCAAATAGAACAGTCACTAAATTTAGGATTTAGGAAAAATACAAAATGGGAAGGGAAAAAGATAACTGTGCATGGGCAGACTATTAATAGCAGCAAAGCGGGATTACACCGTAATGCGCACGAGCAGACCATTATTTGTAGGCAATTATTTGCAGTTATCTTGACCAATGAAAACTCAAAAATAATTTGAATAACAATACTATAATACTGATTAATAATTATTATTAGCATAAAGGCTTTCATACCTCCAATGTTTTTCCACTCGTCTACTCAATGCAATCTTTTCTCCAATTTCTGTGCAGACAGGCTGGGTCAGGATAATCTTGGCTAAATCTGCTTTAACAGCAAGAACACGACCACCAGTAGACAGTGATCCTATGTTGACCGTCAATACTTCATTCTTGGTCAGTTTAGTTACCTAAATTACATAAATATATTAAATAAAAATAAATAGGATTTCTACAGAGCGGCTCTTCATCCACTGTAATTCCAATTGGAATTTAGAAGTTGATTTTTGTGGAAGGAGGAAAACCGGAGACCCCGGAGAGAAACCCTCACAGCACAGGAGAAAACCAACAAACAACCTTACTAGCTTAAAGTACGAAACCGAGTCGGCGAGAATCGAATCTGGGTCACGTTGATGAGAGGCGAGCGGTCTCATCGCTATGCCACCTATCTGGTATACCTAGAGCCCACGTTCCTCTTGGTCAGCACCCAGAAGAAAGAGCTCAAAAAGTCGACCGCTGCATGAGCCTCTAGTTTCTTGGTGCTGATCAAGAGGAACGTGGGCTCACGGACTCAGCTTCACATGTGAGTAGTTTGTTGTGCCCCCCTTAATTTGAGGGGTTTTCTCCATCCACAAAACGCAACCCTCAAAATTCCAATTCCAATTCAATCTATGTGCCTTGACTCAGACCTGTCCAGGATTTGATCCAGGTTCGAATAAAATTGAGAGTTACAGTATACCACTGTACTACATACCTTAGCACCCTTCTTATCTCCCTCAGTTCTCACGCCCAGCAGTCTTCTTAACAGGAAGTAACTGATCTCAAGCTCAGTGTAGATCTCAGGCAAAGCCCCAACAGCTCCAAGCACTTGTCCAACCATCCTATCAGCTCTGCAAAGGGTAGGATCAATCTTGGTTCCCACACCTACAAAGTGCAAAGATTTTAGAAATAAAAGCTACTGTGCTCTAGTC